TGGGGGGCGTTGTTTCGATAGAGGCATGATGACGAGAGATGTAGGCAAGTGCATGGAAGAAAATGGAGGACAGACAAAGAAATGCTGAGCGCGGACAAAGAGAGCAAATCTTCCTCCAGCCAAAATGTGGATGGTTGCCACATCCCCCACAAACGTGCTTCGATTGCAGCCGGTAAACCTCGAGCGTGACCTCGATTTTGCATCTTTAGCAGGGGCATGAGGAGGAGGAGGAGGGAGGGAGGGGGCGATGAAGATGCTTTTCATTCGGTCTTGAAATGAAGCTTTCGGGGATGAATTTCAACGTAGCTTGCATTTCTTTGGAGCTCAAATATGAATCATCCGCACAAAGTCAAAGTGACCGACAGAGAAGGCGCTCGACGTTGGTACGCCTTTCTCTTTCTTTTCTGCTCCTCCTTCGCTCACGAGCGCAATGGCGACATGAGCGGGGCACGTGATTTCTTGGGACCGGAAGCGATCTTGACCTGCTCAGCGATGCTAAGTCAGGCTCGGCTAATGCTAACCAGGAAGGAAGCGGGACGAAGCTTGGTCTCGACGCGCTCGCCGAGGAGAGGCCGCGAGGCGACCGCGAGGACCGCGCGCGTCCCCTCGCGGCCGCTCCTCGCCCGCGGGATGCGGCTGCCGCGCTCGCGAGACAGTCTCGGGAGGCCGTTTTTGCAGCGCCGTCGAGGGCGGAGCGAGCACGACGGCTCGCTTGATTTTTTTCATGCTCGGATGAGCTCGCCTTCTCCGCTCGCGGCGGATGCGGTTGCCGCGGTGACCGGTCCCTCTCTCTCTTTGGAGGAGGAGGGAGGCGAGGGGGGGCGGAGTCAGTCGGGGATACTCTTTGTTCACTTTTGGACGCCAACAGCTGAAGATGATGTTGAAGGTGCCGACCACAAGAAGCGGCTTGCTTGCCGTCCGCACTCAGAGGAGCCGTCCGCCACTTCCGCGGCCTGGTCTCGCGTCAGACCTTCCCCTTGCGACTGCGCTCTCGGCCCCCCGCCCCTCGGGCGCCATTATTGACGTTTCCATCTGCTCTCGCGTTTGACTACAAAATCACTTTTAGGCACCGTAACAACGGCACGCCAATGAGCCCACTTCATTCGGACTTGGAATTAGGACTGCAGCGAGCAAACGTTTGGACACTCCATCACTCTATTGATGATTCCATCACTTGATGGAATCATCAGAGAGAAAATGTATTTATGACAAAAATCTTTTTTGCTTTCCCCCTGATGAACCGATTCTGGTCCCGTACGCTGATGAAAGCGAAGCGAATCAGACACACACACACACACACAAAAGATGATCAAAAGAATTGTCCGCGAATTTGATAATTGATGAGTTTTCGATGACTCGATTCGATGTGGGCCCGCCTTTGCGCCGTCGTTCACGGGCGTCATCACCAATCGGGTGCCCGGGTTGCAACGTGACAAGCGGCCGCCGTCTTTGTGGAATTTTCTCGACGACACGGAAAGAGCTCTTCAAATGCCCCCAGAACCAAAAACATTTGCTCGCCAAATTTGGTTCTGCGGGCGCCGCACTTTGAGGCAAGCGTCCCATCTTCTTGGCGGATCTTTTCAAGCGCCACTCGTCAGCCGATCGGAGGAGGGACTTCCTCGAGCCGCAAAGCAAAGCAAAGTGCGGCGCGGACAGGTGGAGTAAGAACCAAGTTCAAGTCGAAGGCGCTTTCGGAGCAGATTTCCGACAGGCGCCATCGCACGAAAACCTTGACGCCCCACAGAGGCCAGAAGCAGAAAGTCGGCCGGTTTTCCGACTTCTCGCCGAGTCGCACTGGCCTTGTCGCCTTGCCCGGCGCGACGACGGACATCGTTTCAGGTAAACCTCGACACCTTGCCAATGTTTGTTAACTCCTCGCCGCAGGGGGCGCCCCGCCGGGCCCCGGCGTCACCATGGCCGCCGCGGCGGCCTCCTACGACCAGCTGGCCCACCAGGTGGCGGCGCTGCGCAAGGAGAACTCCCACCTGAGGAGGGAGCTGGAGGACAACTCCAACCACCTTTGCAAGCTGGAGACGGAGACCTTCGGCATGAAGGTCGGTCGCCTTGGCCGCCGGCGTCGCGACCTTTGCCGCGACCCGTCAATCACGTTGCCCTTGTCGTGGCCGCCACGCAGGAAGTGCTGAAGCAGCTGCAGTGTCAACTGGAGCAGGAGGCGGGGACTCTGGCCTCGTCGGGACGCGGCGACGTCCTGCGCCAGCTCCAAGGTGTCCGACGCCCGCGCGTCCGCTAAAACGATGACGGCGAGAACGAGGTGGAGCGCCGGCGCCGTCTCCCCGCGCCCGGCTTCAAAAGGCGCATCGGTCGACGGCCGCGCGAGCAAGCCGACGACAAACGGGCGCTCGCGGCGAGCGATGCGGTCGCAGACTTTTTTCCAGCGGAGGCGCTCGGCCGACCAGAAATTGGAGGACACGCGCTGCGGTTTCTTGAAAGCCGAGAACGCCCCCGTCAGGGCGCTTGCGGCCTTTCCTCCACGCCGCAAACGTGTTTTGGCGTCGTGGCGCGATGGGGCCAAGGGACCTCAACTCTTTCACCTCCGTTCGTTCTACCGGAACTTCCGTCAACCACGTTCGACGCCCAAACGTGCCTGCTTTCAACAATCGAAATAATCAAACATATTCTTTTTTGTTTGCTTGTTTTTTTGATTCGTCGACCGGTCAGCGCGTCCGCCTCACAGTGCCGACGTCTGGTGAGGAGCAGCGATTCAGAGAATGCAATGGATGCACGCATGTTTTGTTTTTTGTTTGTTTTTGTGTCGTTGCTGTTGACCAAATCATCCATCAACTTTTCGTCCTAATGTCGGTAACCTAAGAATTAGTCGACAGTTCTTCAGGAAATCTTTACATCATGAAAAAAAAAAAAAAAACACCGAATTAGAGGGCAGCTCCAAACTTTTGAGTGGTCCTGTAACACAGAAGAGAATTGAATATTTGAACATGAAAGCATATCATTCGCTCCGCCGGTTGACGGCTGACGTCAAATCCAAAAGGCGACAGAAGCGCTCGTGGAAGCCGGCCCGGATCTTCGGCTCATTCCGAACCTGCGCGGCGGCACGCACAAAGAGCACGCGGGCCCGATCGTGTCCTCTCTTCGGCGTGGGGGCAACGGCGTTGCTGCCCATCGTGCGCAACGTCTCCCAGGCGAGCTCACGGCGGCGAGGCGGGCAACTCCAGATGTCGACTTGCCTGCGGTGGAAAGACGGTCATGCGAATGCGAACTGATGCCCGCGTACGCGTTTCAGAGCTGCACGTGGACCTGACCAACTACTACGAGCTGAAGCATCAAGGTCACCAGGGTCACCGGTCGCGTCTGCTGGCGGACAATCGAGGAGGTGCGGCGGAGCGAGAGGACCAGCTGGCTGCGCCCCCGCCCTCCTGCCACACCTCGTCCTCTTCTTCGGCTCAAGCCCCGTCTCGCGCCGACGTTTCCTCCTCCCTCGTGTCGCCGCATCACTTCCTGGACGGGGCCCCGCCCAAAACGGCCGTCTTCAGTGGCGCTGACGGGCGCCTCAGCGACCATCACATGAACGAACTCTACAAGGAGAGGTGAGTGGTGAGCGCTCGCTGTTTATCCCATTGAAGATTTTTTTTTTTTTGAGGGTGACAAAGGGGGAGGGGCATCCTTGCCAATGCGCACGGATACCAACATGGCTACAAACAGACAGTAAATGGTCACGAGAGCCCATTTGGTGTTGCCGATTTCACCATTTGCCGGTGTTCGCCGCCTTTCCGACTTCTCCGATGACGAGCTCAAAGAAAACACCAACGAGCAACTTTTCATTGCACACGCCGCGAGCGGAAGGGGTTTTGGTACAAAGGGAGAGGAGCCGGTTGGAAGCCACGAAAGCTCAGCGCTGACGCCGCTCTCGTCCCTCCGCAGGAACCAACTTTTGGGAGAAATTGACCGCGAGGAGCGAGAACGCTGTTGGTACTTCAGCCAGCTGGAGGCGCTGTCCCAGAAGCTCACACACCTGCCTCGCGTTGACACGGTAAACACACACACACACACACACACACACACACACACACACACACACACACGGTACACACACACACACACACACACACACACACACACACACACACACACACACACACGGGTGTGTGTGTGGGCGAGCCAGCCGTGCGTGACACCCGGCCGTCGCGTTTGCTGCAGTTTTCCCGGCAGATGGACTTCATCCGCCAGCAGCTGGAGTTCGAAGTTCAGCAGGTGCGCTGCGTCATGGAGGAACGCTTCGGCAGCAGCGAGGAGATGATCCACCGCACGCAGGTAGCCCAGCGCAAAACGCCCGCGAGCCGCTCGGTCGTCGGCACGCGGCAGCTCGGGTGCCTTGTGTGTGTTGCAGATGCGCGTCGCCCGTCTGGAGCAGCTGGAAAAAGAACTGCAGGAGACCCAAGGGAGTCAAGAGAGCCAACTGCAGGTCTCACACACACGCGCACGCAGGCTCACAAAGGGCTTTGTGTATTTGATGGTGCCGATGTGTCCCTCAGTGTGTCAGTGTTTTTCTCCCCTCGTGCGTACCGTAGTGTTGAATTGTGAGCGGTTGCCACAGAGAGACTCGGGTCGGCCTCGAGCCTCCGCCGCCGCTCTCTTGGAATGCTAACGAGTCAGCGTCTTTGTCGGTGGCGCTCACTTCCCGTTTGCCGGTGATCTCCGCCTTGGAAAAACGAAACAAAACCACAACAACAAAAAAGACGATGCCAATTGCGCCAAACGTACACCTCCTGGATGCGGAAACCGCGCGCCTGCGTACACACAAAGAAACGCAGACGCACAAGCGAATACACAAATGCGCCGCAATGAAAACATCCAAGTCACTGACTTGTATTGCCCGCGTGCGTCCGTGCGTGCAGTTGCTGGGCGCGGAGAGGCCCCCCGTCGGAGAAGCGGAGAGCAACGCGACGGCGGGCGCGGACGGGGCGGCGGACGGCGGCGGCAAGGTAGCCGGTCGGCTCGCCGCTCGCGCTCGCGCGGCAGGAAGCGTTTTTGACGATTGAACGCCGCCCGGCCACCGCAGATGGAGATGGTCTTCTGGCTGCTGTCCATGCTGGCCAACAGAGACAAGGAAGAGATGTCCCGGACCCTGCTGGCCCTCTCCAGCTCCCAGGACAGCTGCATCGCCATGAGGAAGTCCGGCGGCGTTCCCCTGTTGGTCCAGATCCTCCACGAAGAAGCCGGCGGGCCGGGGGAGGCGTGCTGCAGCCGCCAGGCCAAGTCGCGAGCGGGCGCCGCCCTGCACAACATCATCTACTCCCAGCAGGACGAGGGCCAGGCCCGCCGGGAGATGAGAGTTCTGCACATGCTGGAGCAGGTCCGAACTTACTGCGACAGCGGCTGGGACTGGATGGAGAACCACGCGGAGGGCCGTCCCGGTCCGACCGGAATCCTTGGTGAGTACCGTTGGAGGCGGTCCGGCTTCCCTGTCCGTCAACAACACGGAGGATCGACAGCGAGCCCGAGGGCCGTACAAAGTCAAAACGGCGAAGGGTGGGGCTCAGGAACCCCCGCGAGACAAGCCGCGCCACCTCCATCTTTCTCGTTCTCGTCAGATATTCCCGAACCCGTAGACCCTCAGATCTGTCAGGCCACGTGCGCCATCATGAAGCTTTCCTTTGAAGAAGAGTTCCGCCGTGCGATGAACGAATTAGGTGGGTGAAGCATTCAAATGAAGGCGACGGTGAATGCGATGTCGTGGATGAGCTTGCGCTGCCCTCCAGGTGGTCTGCAGGCGGTGGCGGACCTCATCCACTTGGACCAGCAAATGTACGGCATGCAGAACGACCCCATCAACATGGCGCTGCGGCGCTACGCCGGGATGGCCTTGACCAACCTCACCTTTGGAGATGTGGTCAACAAGGTGGGGGCTACCGGAGCACCTCGCCCACACGCGTCCTCCGCTAAAGCTAACGCTAGCTGCGTGTGGGGGGGCCGAGCCGGACGCCTCGTCCGTTACGTTCGAGAAACGACCGATGTTGATTGACGACGAAGACCGTGAGAGCGAGCGTTGTCGTTTCCCCATTCCTGACGCGTTGTCATCCGTTCTCCATCGCCTCCCGCAGGCCACTCTGTGCTCGAGAAAGAGTTGCCTGCAAGCTCTCGTTGCCCAGTTAGCCTCAGACAGCGAGGAGCTCCACCAAGTGGTCTCCAGCATTTTGAGGAACTTGTCCTGGCGGGCCGACATCAGCAGCAAGCGAGTCTTGAGGGACATCGGCTGCGTGCCTGCCCTGATGACGTGCGCCCTGCAGGCCACCAAGGTGAGGACCTGTCGGGTTCGCCCGCGACGGGCGTCAGGCGAGAACCGCTTTTAGAATACCTCTCTCTCCCTCTCTCCCTCTCCCCAGGAGTCCACTTTGAAGAGTCTTCTGAGCGCCCTGTGGAATCTGTCGGCTCACAGCTTGGACAACAAGGAGGCGGTGTGCGCGGTGAACGGCGCTCTGGGCTTTCTGGTTAGCACGCTGACGTACCGCTGTCAGACGAACTCGCTCGCCATCATCGAGAGTGGCGGCGGAATCCTGAGAAATGTGTCCAGTCTGGTGGCCTCGCGAGAAGACTACAGGTGCGTCTGTCAGCTCGTGCGGTCCCGACGATCTTCTCAGGGTAGAGGAGACACGCCCGCGGGGCGACGCTCACCGTGCGCTTCCATGCTTTTCTTCCTCCAGGCAAGTATTGCGAGACCACAACTGCCTCCAGACTCTGTTGCAACACCTGCGCTCGCACAGCTTGACCATCGTCAGCAACGCTTGCGGGACACTTTGGAACCTCTCGGCCCGGAGCCCAAAGGACCAGGAGCTGCTTTGGGATTTGGGCGCAGTGAGCACGCTGCGCAATCTCATCCACTCCAAGCACAAGATGATCGCCATGGGCAGCGCCGCAGCTTTGAGGAACCTGCTGACCAATCGACCCCCGCAGTACAAGGACGCGTCGGTGCTCTCGCCGGGGTCGCGCGTGCCTCCGCTTTACATGAGAAAGCAGAGGGCGTTGGAGGCCGAGCTGGATGCCAAACACCTGGCTGAGACTTTTGACACGCTGGAGAAACGCAATCCCAAGAACTTGAGCTTCAACAAGCAGCTGCGCCACATCGAAAGCCTGGCCAAGGACTACGCGTCGGACTCGGGCTGCTTCGACGATGAAGAGGCCCCCAACGTCTCCTGCAGTCTGGACACCGGAAGCTTCTCCATGCTCTCCACCTATCTCAACAACTCCAACTTGCTACAAAACAGTAAGCGGGACAGCGAACCCGAGCGGGACCCGGACCCGCCTCGGCCGGACCGGGGACAACCGGCATCCGACGAAGCCATGTCCGCCGCCGCCGAGACGCTGGCTAAGAAGATCACCAACGCCGTTGCGAAGATTGACCGATTAGTGGAGGACATCGCCATGCACACTTCCTCCGAGGACAGCTTCAGCCTCAGCTCCGAAGACCATCTGGCCGACTGGCCTTACGGGTCGCCCGAGCAAAACGAGAGTGGCGCGAAGTCGCGCTCCCCCTGCCGTCTCTCGGACACGAGCAGCTCGGCCCGTCGAGAACGCCTCTGCAGGGCGCGTGCGTTACTGCGCCTGAAAAGCGCTCATACGAGCGTGTCCACCGACAGCTTGAACAGTGGCAGCACCAGCGATGGCTACTGTGGCAGCAAGGATCAAGTCAGACCCGCCCCAGACGCCCGGATCCCCCAGAAACGACCCAACCGGCTGGATCTGACCGCGGCTCACCTCGAGCGCCGCAACGTGCAACCCGCTCTCTTGAGTCAGACTAGCCGGGAAGCGATTCCAGAGAGAGATTGCGCGGATGAACAGGACAATATAGATTTGCGGCTCCTCGACTCCGATGCAGTAAAGATCCAGGAACCTCCGGTGCAAACACCCGTGAGCGTGTCCACAAAGGTCTCTTCGGATGTCAGCATGGCCTCCGTCAAACTTTCTCCTTCCTACCGGCAGGTTCCGCTCATTCAGAGTGTCGCCACGCTTGGCGTCGCGGCGACGTCCGTCAACGTTGAGGCCGCGGAAGGCACGAGGAGGCAAGCCTGGGCGCCCACCGCCGTGACCGGAGGCAGCGTGACCAAGTTTTCGCCAATGGCGTCCGGCAGGAGCCCAACCGCGGGCACAATGGAGACGGTCCAGAAATACTCTGTGGAGAACACGCCCATCTGCTTTTCTCGCTGCAGCTCCTTGTCCTCGCTGTCTTCTGGGGACGGAGCACTGGACGGACAAAGCGACAACGAGCTGGAGAGCGACTCCTCGCTTGAAATTATCCAGGCGGAGGACGGAGAGGATGTCCAGAGGGCGGAGGAGGCCGAGACCTTAGAGGATCTGAGTGACAGCCAGCTGCTCCTGACCGACTCCAAAACCTTCCCGAGCAAAGAGACCGATCCCATCCCGATTCCGTGCCCTGCCAAAAGAGAAAAGGTCTTCCTTCAGGGAGCCGCACCGACGGCGCTGGAAGACAGGTCACCGTCCAGCTCTTCTGAGAACTACATCCACGAGACTCCTCTGGTCATGAGTCGCTGTAGCTCGGTCAGTTCTCTGGGCAGTTTTGAGTCCCCGTCCATTGCGAGCTCCATCCAAAGCGATCCCTGCAGCGAGATGATCGATGGAACCGTCAGCCCCAGCGATCTTCCGGACAGCCCCGGCCAAACGATGCCCCCGAGTCGAAGCAAGACTCCGTCATGCTGCGCGGACGCCGGCGGAGGGGAAGGGCAGACGGCCGGTTCGGCGGCTCCGTGGGAAAACAGTCTGCGGACCTTCATGGAGGTCGGCGACTCCAAAGACCGGTTCGACCTGCCCGCCGATTTGGACGCAATGATCTACTTCACCGTGGAAAAGCCCACAGAGAATTTCTCCTGCGCGTCCAGCCTGAGTGCTTTGCCTCTTCACGAGCACTACATCGAGAAAGACGTGGAGCTGAAACTGACGCCGCTCCTCCAGCAAAGCGAGAGGAGCCCGGCTCTGCGGGACGACAATGACCAGGGTCTCGCCCACGGTGAGAGATGCAGTGAAGGCAACTCTGACGATGACATCGAGATCCTGAAGGAATGCATCAATTCAGCGATGCCCTCCAAATTCAGGAAGGTCAGGCCTTCCTTGGTGACCCACATCCCCCCTCGTTTTCGCGGTGCCCAAAAAGCCGTGCGTCTCCCCGTTTACATGATGCTCCCGAATGGCAAAACGCAGCTGTATCCCGGGAGGAGAATTGTCATCCCGCAGAAGGACGTCAAGTTTGACGATTCGTCCGTCACGGACTCGGCCGACGGCACTCCGGTCAATTTCTCCAGCACGACTTCGCTGAGTGACGACACGCTCCAGTACCCGGTCAAGGACTGTCCGGCTGGGCCCGTTTCCAAGCAAAAAATACTCGATGAGGAGGCGAAGAGGATCGAAGACTTAAGAATCTTCTCCCACTTCCACAACGCAAACAAGACGAACTACCCGCCTGTGATTCCGGCAGGCCGCACGAGCAAACACGTCATTTCCACTCAGGAGGTTCTGATGCAGAGCAAGGAAGTGGCGGACAGAGTCGCCAACCAGAGGAATCGCGAGCCTTCTCCCAGCCACCAGAAGAAGACGAAGTGGCCGGGGCCCGCCGGGAAGCCGCAATTGCCCATTATAAAACACGAGCCAGAGGGTAGCGCCGCTCAAAACAGAAACGCGGTGCAAACGTCACAGTCTTGGCAGGAGAGCAAACATTTCTACCAGGACAAAACCAAACTTGCCAGCAGAAGCCACGCGAGGGAAGCCAGCAGGAATTCTCTGTCGCGAAGCATGAGCAACATCGGCAGGACTTGGACTTGTCAAGCAAAGCCCAGAGGCTTTCACAGGATAAAGCAGAACCTGGTGACGGACGACTCCCCTGCCTGTCACTCGCTCAGCTCCTCGCTGAGTTCCCTGAGTGACGCGGAGTTTGAGGACCACAGATTCAAAGCCCAGCAGATTTGGTACAAGAACAGACACAACGCCAGCCTGAATACGATGCGGCAAGCCAAGTCCTTGGCCGTCCACGGCCAGTTTGACGAGCGCAGCTCTCCGAGTTCTGTCAGCGTGGACTCGGAGGACGACCTCCTTCAGAGGTGCATAACTTCCGCCATGCCCAAACAGAGGCGGAAGGTGGCCGGCAGGAAGAAGAAAGCGGAGAACGGCCAAAAACAAGTGCCGAAGGCCTCAGAGGTCTGTCACGTGGATGAGGACAGCGACGACCCGGCGTGGGATCAAGACTCGGACCTGAACAGCGTGGAATGGCGAGCCATTCGAGAAGGCGCCGACGCTGTCGTGACTGGACTGCAAGCGGCCAAGTCTCAAGACCTCTCCTCCGAAGAAAGTGAATCCGTTTTGTCATTCATCTCAACATCCAGCTTTACCCCCAAGGAGAAGAAATTTGCGAAAGACAAGAAGGCCAACAAAGCTCTGGACTTTGCGCAGCGCAAGCCGGTGCCCAACTTGCCGGTGGTTTTCAGAGGCAGAACGGTCACCTACACGCCAGCGAAAGAGCCGGCTCCGTCGCAAATACCTCCGCCCAGGAAAGTATCCGCCAAAACAGATGCGCCGAAGAACCCGGGGCTGGCTCAGCACAGGTCGAAGAGCCTTCACCGACTAGGAAGACCAAAGGACATGGAGCTGCACTTGCCAAAAAGGAGCTCGACTCCACCTCCGCGGATACCAAAGAGCTCCTCCTCCGGCTCATCGCAAAGTTCTACGCCGTCCAAACATTGTCAGAAGAACCTCACGTCGCCGACTCCGACAGCGAGCAGGCCTATCCTGAGAAAGGGTGGCACGCCATCGACCGGCCCGCCTGCCGGTAGCCCCCCAGAAAGAAAGGGACGCTCTCCCGTGGTGAACAGGGTTCAAAAAACACCACCGCCGAAGACCCAGAAGTCACCGGTCAGGATACCTTTTATGCAGAATTCGGTGAGTGCGGCCAGACCTCTTTCACCTCTGGTCACCAACCAGGCTACGGGTAGACAAAACCAGCGCGGCGGCAATCGGGTCCTCCCTCCTCACCGATCTGATCTGGCCAGGATGGCATCAGCCCGTTCGAGCGCTGGCGAGTCAGACTCCAACGGATTCTTGAGGCAGCTGACGTTCATCAAGGACTCAAAGAGCGGACTAAAACGGGACTGCGCGCCGCGCGTCCCACCGTCCCGATCCCAGAACGCTTCCCCCCACCGGGCGGTTCCGGGGGCTTCGGCAGTCTTCCTTTGCTCATCCCGCTGCCGGGAGCTGAAGGTGGCTGCCCAGCCCCCGAGCAAGACGGCAGGAAACGGTGCAGGACAAGCACGGCGAGTCCAGAGACCTCAGCTGGAGGCCAGGAGCACCGGCGGGGTGACCTCTAGAGATCGGACCCCGTCTGGAAGAGGTCCATCCAGGAGAACCAGCTCCGAAAGCCCCAACAGAGCGGCTCAACGAAACGCTCCAGGCAGAGTTTGGGGGGAGAGACAACTACGACAGGACCAAGAAACGTTTAAACGGCACGCGTCATCTCCGAGTATAAACATCCTGAGCCGAGTGACCAGCCGTTCCTCACTCCGTTCATCGTCCTCTGACTCAAGCGGACGAGCCAAAAGCGAGGACGATACGAAGAAGAAAAGTCCGAGATCCCGTCTGAGTGACAGGGTCACCTGGAGGAGGATCAGGGATGAAGACGTACCGCAGATCTTGAAAAGCACTCTGCCGGCCAACGCGTTACCACTGGTGCCCTCCCCCGACGGGGCCAAGCCGCCACTGGCTTCTCTGCCGGGGAAGCTGCCGACTATTCTTCTGGCCTCGCGCAGTGTGAGCGACGCTACGGTTCAGACGGAAGATTTCTCCCACGCCAAGATCAACTTCGGCCCCGCTCCCACCGCCGAGTCGGCGGCAGCGATTCCGGAAGATGCGGCGGGACGAGCGCTACTTAGGAAGTTTAGCGCCACCGCCGGGGGGAACTTTCAAGACGGAGACTTAGACGGCACCGCCTCGACCCGAAAGCCGGACGGGCACATCGGCGGAGCCGTGCATTTCCGCCAAGGATCTCCGAGCAAGGCGGCCAGAGTTTCTCCGTTCAATTACATCCCCAGCCCCGCGGCGGCCCCGCAGGAGGCCCAGAGCGTGGAGGCTGACCACAAGACTGAAAGCCAAAATCAGTCGTAGATGTTTGATGAAAGACACTTTGGAGAGTCCTGGACACGACCTCCCCTCGCCTTCACCTCTTTTGCTTCGACGCCCCACCGCATCCCATCTTCGACTATGTCCGCGCTACCAGAGGTATTGAGAGGGGGGGCAACGTGGGGCTTTTAGGCACCCGCCCATCCCGGACATTTTGTCCTTGTTTTTCTATGTGCGGAATAATCATGGCTTGCTCGAAAAGTTGCAGAAGAAAGCAGCAAAGTATGCAAACCTCAACGAGCCCAAACGCGTCCAACTCTTCTCGCCACAAACACGGGCAGATGCTCTCCATCGGTGTTCGCACCGTGGTCCTCAACCATTCGATTAGCGACATGCAAAGGGCTAACGGCAAAGCCACATACATGCCCACGCGGTGATTTAGTATTTGCGCAAGAGCATCGTCATGTTCTCAGTTGATTGACAGGAATGAATAGTGCAGCCGTGACTGTGTTCCCCTCATCAGGTGTGTAAATAATAGTGAGAATAATAAAAATACAGCAGGAAAAAAGACAGCGTGCTGATGAATTGGCTGATGATGGCGTGAAGGCATGCAAATTGGCCAAAGTGTTTCCGGATCCATTTAGTGTGAAGGAATCCACCAATCAACCAGTGCCAGGTCGGTGACTGAAGTACATCAAGAATATGTCTTCCTCGTACAAGCTGCTCGCATTTGTATGGTTTTAAGTGTTGAACGTGTGTCACATTCGGGTCTTGTTGCCAAATCTCTCCTGCTCGTGTGTTAGCTTTAGCAGCTGCGGCTAACCCGTATGTCTCGTTGTTTTTTTTTTGCTGAACAAGAAGATGGAAGAAAGCGTGTAAGCCATTGTTATGGCAAGAAGACCTCATCAAAGGGGCAACCTAAACGAGCTGGGCATCAGAAAATGATCACATTGTCAATTTGCGAATAGCAGGACGCCGAAGTCGTATTTGTCATGTATTTACCCAATAAAAAGTCTTCGGCGTGCACGTGACTTCGATTACTGGCTGCGGCGCGTACGCACGGATCACTTCCATATGACGTATTTGATCACACGTCAGGCTTCCAGGTGCGTTCAAGGGGAACCCCCTATCCATTTTTTTTTTTCATGCAGAAATACATTTTATGTGCCGCCACTGGTCTCAACGCGGCACTCATATTAATGTTACGTTCGTGGAATAAGAATTGAATCGAGGAATTCATCAAGTTTCAACCCTCTCCGGGGGCCGCCATGTTGGACAATATCGCTCTCTGCTGTTGACCACAATTCATCACAACCGCTCTCGGTCTGCCATTGCTCGTGTCACGTCAGAAAGCCGGAAAACAGGCAAGAACGCCGCAAGGACGAGCGCTGCTACGGGTTGATGATGGTTTTTAGTCCAACTTACTTCACTACGTTACCATACGTGGGTATTCTGCTCACCTGTTTTCAGGGACTAAGTTTGGCAAATTGGCAACGCCAGTGCGAGAGCAGATGTGACGTACAATTCTTGCGTCATGCTTCATCAAAACCATGAGCTGCACACTTGACATACTTTGCTCCACAACGTCGGCAGATAAAAGTTTATAAGTGATCCGACCTACTCGTGAAGCCCGTGACAGTTGCTTTAGGCCTTCATAATAACAAACGGTAAAGGCACGCGACAGGCGCAACACTGTCACAAATCCGTACGTAGTATTACGGCCAATTTCCACTTTTCCCATTTTCTTGGCTCGTTCCGTCGCACACAACGTCGGCAGATAAAAGTTTATAAGTGATCCGACCTACTCGTGAAGCCCGTGACAGTTGCTTTAGGCCTTCATAATAACAAACGGTAAAGGCACGCGACAGGCGCAACACTGTCACAAATCCGTACGTAGTATTACGGCGAAATTCCACTTTTCCCATTTTGTTGGCCTGGAGTGATCCAATGCAGCAGTGTCTCCCAAAATCATGCAGGTCCAGTCGGGAATTCAGTTAGGATGCATCCATTTATTGAACAGTTGGTTGTTTGGATTGTTGAGCAGAAATGAACTTCGAAGATACCAGAAATGTTCTTGTAGTTTGTCTCTGAGTGCCAAGTCCTTTGAGTCACAAAAGGTGTTGAAAATCACGCAACTTCACGCATAACAGAAAAGACTTTTTGGCACCGAAAACACAACCATCCAAATCGGTCTGCTTTCATGGACGGCATATTTACCGGTGACGGGCTGAAATTTCGAGGATTTGGGCAATTTTACATGAAACGGGGTCGGTATGGATTAACCGATGATCAAAATAGTTGATTCAGTTGATATTCGATTGGTCGTTGACGTATGCTTGCACCTCGAGTCGTGCTAAATATGCACGGGCGTGATGGGGGCACGTGACTTTATTGTTCGCACGTGCAAGCAGCCTTCAGGCACCAGGCGGGCATCCAGTCGTCCAACATTTGCGTGGCTTTCCTTCGATTGCCTTCTGCAGTCACGACGACGTGCAAGGTTGACTCTGCGGCTCCCGGCGCGGTCAGCAAAGTCCACCTTTGACTTCCGCCAGGTGGCGGTCCAGTCGCTGGCCCGCCGCTCGGAGGTGGTCCCGCTGGCGCGTAAGGACCGCCCCCACCTCCTGCAGCTGATGCTTTACGTCCGCGTGACGCCGACATTGCTGGAAGGTACGCTCCGCCTCCCCCGTCTCGCCAGCTGACGACGCAACGTGCAACGTCAATCACATTGGCCGCGCCTCCTGTCTTTTAAGACCCTGTGTGCGTTTTTTTTTTTTTTTTTTAATTTAATTTAAATTTATTTATTTCCTTGGGACAGTGCACATTTAGCAACACAAGAATAAACAGTGTAAATGCGCCGGACTTAGCATGAATACTAGTGTCGTTCAATCGCAGCTCTGTTACGGATACGTTAGTCCGCGTTTGAATGTAATTACTGGGGCAAAGTCGGACAAATTGTGGAGGAATTGCATTCAACTGTTTTGCACTTCAGTTTCGAGGATTTATATATCTGGGTTTTTTTCGGGGGGCCGGTGTGTGTGGCTAAAACAGCACCCGGTGACGCACTCGCCTTCGCTCTGCGGAAGCGTATTGCTGCCACACCGCAGAACTAAAGTTCAATCACAAGTCACAAAGTGACAGTTTCGGGTTACATGTGAAAAGTTCCACGTCAGGAGCTGGTAACACCGACCTCTAAACTGTGAGATGAGAACTTGATCGCAACCAGACTCTTCCGAATTTCAATTGAAGCTCTCTGCACTCCAGAAAAGTCAAGTACAACAGATCACACCAGGCAGTGAATAAAGCGTGCCATGTCGCGGCGAGGACTCACGGTGTTGGGGTTGTTGCAGGATGGCGAAGACCGGGTCGTCGGGCTCGGCGCCGCCGACGTCCTCCAAGATGCGGTCCACGCTGGGCGGAGAGGGTCTGCTGGGCAGGACCGCGCGCTTCTTGCTTTTCAAGCTCACGTTCATGACCGAGTTGACCACGACGAGGAGGATGACGACCGGTCCGCCTGGGCACGACACAAGGCCGTCAGTTGGGAATGTTGCTGCTCTGCAATCAACGAGTTCGGTGTTGGTGAGGATGACATCCGCGAAGGCTCGGCGGCTCGCTTCATACCCAACACGTCACATTTGATCCTCGCAATGCACGCCTCAAGTTATGCACCCCAATGACGGGCAATCTCAAAACGAGCGTGCGTGCGCGTTAGCATGTCTGCTGGCTACCTGGAATTGCAGTACCCCCGTCTCGTCACTGTTTATTTACGAGCTTCCTTACGTCGCAGTCACTTGTCCACTTGAACGTTCCCTTGGAAATCAACGCAAGTCCACTTTTGAAGCCAAAAGATGAGCGATTTCGACCATCTGAGACGTCGCCGAACTTCTTCTGTTAATATTTGACCGTCGCGCTTAGTTTAGCGCCACCTGTCGCCTTGGACGATTGAATCCGCGATTGCTCAGGTTAGGAAACGTTTGTTTATTTATCTGTCTATCTATCTATTTATTTATTCATTTCAAAATGTTTTTGAAAATAATTTCCTCGTGAGTAGACATTGCCTTGGCATGAGCGAGAATGCCAAAGCGGCTACTTTGGCCGAGAGTCGCTCTGTGTGACGTCACAAGGACGCGCCGGTAAACTGTGACTTGCTACGCATTGCCGAGCGGAAAGAAGGAGCGGGGACAGCAAAGTCAACATTTCTCTCGTGTGAAGCTTTCCCACATTTGGTGAGGCAGAAAATGCTCTACTTTGATTTTTTTTTTAGCTCGGCTGGCGTCGTTTTGACCTCGACGATGCGTCAATATCCAAATACGCTCAAATAGCCTGTTAGCTGCTAGTTTTGCGCGTGGCCTTGCGTGCGCGTGTACATCGGGATTAGAATTAATATTAGAATAATGTTTTCCTCTGTTTTCATTTGACGTGAGCCTGCCAATATTTGGCGAATGTCACAACGGCCCTTGTTGCTTTCCTGTAGGTTTTAATAATATGCGACAAAGTACGTTGCTGTGTTGCGTTTTATCGATATATGTGTGTAAAATTACAAAGATGGATTGAGTTGCATGAGACCAACGATTATATCCTGTGGAAAATACGAATAAAGCCATGAATATGTTCATGATGTGTCAATGCAGTAATTTCTGGCCCACTATACCAAGAGACGCAGAAAATGTGTGCCCGAATCAATTCTTTTTCATCGTAGGAGCGTGAGCTTGACGAGGATGGCACCGGAATCACCAACACAGAAATAATACCTATAATTATATTGATGTGACAAGTTATTTTAGCCATCTTTGATGCTTTTCATGGGCATTTATCAGCCTTAAAGTCGAAAAATGTCGTCCTACATTTGTTCTGCGCATATTTACTTGACGGGGAAATGAACTAGGACAGGTGTTCGTCATTCGACGTGATCTAAGCGTAGCACAGTGAAGAACAACAGCGCAGTGATCTCTTAATGTCCCCCTTCAGGCTTACAACACAGATATGAATTACAGGGAGAACATTTGACTCTTTTCCGATACTTTTGTATGTCCTTTTGTACATGTAAAAAAAAAAATGGCAAAACTGCATTTGCTGAAAAATTCCTCTTGAGATTTAGGCCATTCATATCTACTGCATACGATTCAAACGAGGGGTGCATCTCTGATGGAAGTCGATTGGATCTGTGCGTGGGCTGCGATATGATTCAGGGATGTTGGATGTTAGAACGTAACGTGTGGATTCGGTTCAATCAGAGGGGGGTTTCCGATTCAGATCTGTTATCATGACAGCCCTGCAGGTCTTAGATATGGCCAATGTGCGTGTGTGTGTGTGTGTGTTTGCTACGCCAGCTGTGAGTGCTTGCGCGGCGTCCGCCTGTGCCGCCATGACGGACAACAAGCGCCTGGCCTTCTCCATCATCCGCTTCCTCCACGAGCAGCTGCAGTCGGGCGATCTGTCGTCCGGGGCACAGGAGAGCCTGGAAGGTGAGCCGCCGCCGCCGTCTTTGGCGAGCCCCGCTCGGCTTCTTCTCACGCGCGTCCCTCCGCAGTGGCCGTCCAATGTCTGGAGACGGCCTTTGAAGTGTCTGCGGACGACCAGAGCCTCGCCGTCCCGCTCACGTTACCCGAGATCTTCGCCTCCGCCGCTCGCCAGACCTCGGTGAGAGCCGCCCGCCGCCCGCGTCGTCACAAGCGCCCGCCTTTTCGTTTGACTCGTCGGGTCGGTCATTTTCATCGGGTTGTTTGCTGAAGATGCGTCCTCTGGAGCCTTCGCTACTCCGGCAGGCTGACTAGTTTGACCGGAAAGTAATAAGCTGGTACGGGTTCGCCGCGTTGATGCGTCATCGTTTGCGTGACGTTTCAGACCGCCCACGAGGACGATGCAAAAAGAAATGTGAAAATAGAAAACTACCTTCGCGGTCCTCCGTGCAGAATTTGGCCCGATTCGCGAAAAGAGAATATTGAACGGCTCATGGAAGAAGGCGCAAGTCAAGCTTCTCAAATGAAGTCCCGCTTGAAGATCCCAAAGCGTCGACGCTTGTATTTGTTGACGTGACGAGAGTAAGAACGGTGCCACTGCGAAAGTCTGAGGCGACTGTTGAAGAAGCCGCCGGTTTTTGTGGTCTGTGGCCGTCGCAGGGGAACAACAACAACAGCGTCGACGTCGGCGAGGAGCGGCGCACCGAGGCCGAGAGACTCAAGACGGACGGTACGGTAACGCGGCCGCCCGCGCGACGTCCGCTCGGTTGTTGACGGGCTCTCCCGCGCAGGTAACGATCAGATGAAGGTGGAGAACTACGCCGCCGCCGTGGAGTTTTATTCCAAAGCCATCTCCCTCAACACGCAGAACGCCGTCTACTACTGCAACAGGTCAGCGCGCCGCCATCACGTGTGGCCGACTCGTTCGTCGGGCTAGCCGTGGCCGCGAGTGTCGGGTTTGTGTGGCGAGTGCATATTGTCTTCAGAGCGTGTCATGTGACGTGCGCGCAGGGCGGCGGCGCTGAGCAAGCTGGGTAATTACGCGGGGGCGGTGCAGGACTGCGAGCGGGCCATCGCCATCGACCCAAACTACAGCAAAGCTTACGGCAGGATGGGGTGAGAACCGTCGGCGCGACGCAGCCCTCCGTCCTGTCCTTCGGCCACTGCCGCCCTCCAGCGTCGCGCGTCAACTTCTGCCATGAAGTCAGCTCGGGAATTTTCGCCTCTCGACTTATCTCCCCATTAAAAAAAAAAGGTCATCAGTTAAATGGCAGCGCGCCCCCTACAATTCCATTCCGAAGGCCGAAAATGTTCTTGCCGGCAAGTGTGGCCCATTGATGGGAACGGCTAGGTGGGAAATGGCAGAAGATTGCAGTGTGAGTGCGCGCGTGCGTCCGTGCAGGTTGGCGTTGGCGAGCCTCAACAGGCATGCGGAGGCGGTGACCTTCTACAAGAAGGCTTTAGAACTGGACCCGGACAACGACACCTACAAGTCCAACATGAAGATCGCCGAGGACAAGATGGACGCCACCAGTCCTGTAAACGTCACACTCTGCGTCTTGGACTGCGCGCAGGTGCGAGTTTGCTCGTCCACGTGTTCCATGTGTGTGTGTGTGTTCTTGTCAGATGGCGGCAACGGGCGGCGTGGACCTGGCCGGACTGCTCAGTAACCCGGGTTTCATGAACATGGTGAGACCGCCGCCGCCGCAGCATCGTCGAGCCGTGCTCGCGTTCTAGTTGGTATTCAGTTAGCACATTGAGACGCGTTCAACCGGGACAGACCAGCGATCGTTCAGTTCAACAAAGCCAAGAGCGATCGTCGATCTGATCGGAAGACGCGGCGTTCCATCTCGGCGTCGAGTCGCTCACTGTTCCGATTTGTGAACCATAATGTGAAACTTGACGTTTGTTGCAGGCGTCGTCGCTGATGACGAACCCTCAGGTCCAGCAAATGTAAGTGTGTGCGCGTGCGTACACGTCTTCGCTGTTTGTGTGTGTGTGTGTGTGTGTGTGTGTGTGTGTGTTAAGCCTCGGCTGGATGTCGTCAGGATGTCGGGAATGATGTCGGGAGCGTACGGAGCCGGCGGAGCCGGGGGAGGCGGAGCCCCGGGACCCGCGCCGGCCGGAGATTTATCGGGACTCATCCAGGCGTACGTAGGCTCCGACGCGCTCCTCTCCTCTTACTTCGCACCTTTTTTGGGAGGAAAAGTCAAGTCAAGGAAGCTAAGCAGCGTGTGATGTTTTGGTGTCTTTTAGAGGTCAGCAGTTCGCTCAGCAGATGCAGCAGCAAAATCCGGAACTCATCGAGCAGCTCAGGAGTCAAATCCGCAATCGCGCGCCGAGCGCCGGAAACGAGGAGCAGCCGTGACGCCGGCGCCGCGCCCGGTAACTGCCAACGGTGTGGCATCAAATGTGGCGCTTGGAGACAGAGGGGGGTGGGGGGGGTCCACATCCGTGCCGCCAGGCCCGTCGAGGGCGCCCTTGAGTCACCCACCTTGGCATCAGTCCACTTTGGCAATTTGACTGGGTCTGCATTGGGGCAGATGGGAAGAGACCGCCCAATAAATGGAGTCACGTAATCATCATGACCGCCCAAAGAAAGACGTGGGCTCTCTTGGTTATTTGTATTTATTTAGTATTAGCATCATCAGAAGGGGGCAGGCTGGGCTGTGTGTTTAAAAAGAAAAGGGGGGAGCTAATTTGGGCCCAAAATAAGTATGAGACCAGCTTAAAAAAAGCCATTCAGTTTGAAAAAAGCTCGCCCCAAGCTCTCGCTCTTCATCAAAGCTTTGGCGGGATCGGTGACTCCAGTGAAAAGTCAAAAGAAAGTCGTGTCGACTGAAATTGGGGGCTGCCACGTGTAGGAATCACTGAATTCAAGAGAAATAAACCACACGATGAACTAAAACCAAACATTGCAATGAAGTCTTGAGCTATGGAAGCCTGAATGGTTGGGGTTTTTGGGGGGGGGGGGTAATTTTCATGTCCAGTCCATAAATTGTGTTGCTTGCGTTTGTGAGGACGCAACGGATGAGTGGCCTTTGCATATCCACTCGATGGTTGAAAGCATCTTGCGCTTTTGACACCGAGCAAATGGCCAACCCTAACATGGCTGACGGCGGGCAAGTCATCTGGCGGCCGCCGCTCCCCCCGCCTCTGCTTCTCATGCTTATGATGATGATGATGATGACGAAGGCGCGTGCGCTGTTTTCCAGGCAGGCCACGTTCCGAGCGGGGCAGTCGGCGTTGACTTTTTCTTTGACTTTGGGACGATTGTTGCGGCTGGAATCGAGTCGAATCGGTCGGCGCGCGAAGAGACCACGCGCGCTCGCGCCGGCCGCGCCTCCTCGGGAAGCCCCTCCCACCCCCTCACCTCCCGGAGTTTCGACGCGGGCGCCCTCTCAAAACTCGGTCGCGCGGGCGTGCCGAGGCCGGTCATTGAGGCTGAACAATTAAAAGATTTGACGTCCCCGCTGTCGCCTCGGCTTCAATTGCGGACGCGTCGCCATCGACGGTGAGAAAGGTTCATACTTTGGACTCGGTCCGCTGACTCGGCATGTACGTCAAAAGAAGACAAGAATTTCAGAAGCGATCCATCTCGTCGCCAATCAAAACCAATTGACAGTGCAATAAAAGAATGATGACGAGTTTGATCCGTTGTCAGAAAGTCGGGGCAAAAGCAGGCGTATCTCTGAAAAGAAAAAAAAAACCCCCGCACCCACATACACCAAGACTGCTTTCCTGTTTGGAAGCTGAAACGGCGAGGATTTGGAGAGTTTCGATTCAACAAGGTCTCTGTGGTTGTCGTCGCCGCACCGCGACCGATAGCCAAAGTCGACTGAAAATGACATCACAGCGACAAACCGGTCGCAAAATGGCCGCCCCTGAGTTGGAACCGGACGGCTGCATTTCGCCGCTTCGTTCCTGCCGCGCGCACGCCTCGTTCATCCCATCGGCCAGCCGAGAACGGTCGGGAGAGGCTCCGGCCTTGAGGAGAGGACGGGAGCCAGGGACCGAGCCTGCCCGTCGGGCCGCGAAGGAAAGGTGGAGGCCAGTTCCCGTCAAAGCCCCGCTCTCCGCGCCCGTGCCGCTTTCCTCCGCATTCGCGGCAGGTGAAGGGACCGCCGCGAGTGGTCCCCCGGTGTCCTTTTTAGCGCCCATGGTTGTTGGTCCGGGTGGGCCCTGCGATTGGCTGCCAAGCGCGTTGAGGGCTGGGAAGAGGCTCCGGCACGCCCGCCACTGGGGTGCAAATAGCACACAACCAAAAGGCTCCGCAGCCGCGTGGTGTGGCGTTCAAAACAGAACCGGGCTCCTCCGGATGCAGAGGGGCAGCAGCTCTAATCTTGGCCCCAAATTCATCTCGTTCTCTTCTTCATCGCCTTTCTGAGCGACTCCCCGAGTTTTTTGTTTGTTTGTTTATTTCCTGGCCCACCACGTGGCTGCCTTGCAGCATCCCGCTTGGCCTCTGGGCTCCCACCGACCAAAAAGGACTCCTTCAGCATGCGGACACCCCTCGCCGCCAGTGTCCGCCAAAAGGTTTGGCGTCGCCGCCACCGTACTCTGGAGCTCCAGTCGACCGCCTCAAGAGCGGAAGGGTCCAACCTGGCCCTCTCAAATGTCGCCGTTTCGTCTCTGCGGTTCAAGGAAAATCAAAAGGATGGAGCGTACTAACTACCACGCGGAGCCCGAAAGCCTCGCTGCTGCGCGGCGGGCCCGAGCGAGTGACTTTTGTTGCTCTTTGACGGCTGCCCTCGAAGACGCTCGGAATTCCGGGTTGACCCCTGAACCCGACTGGCCCGGGGGTCCGCAGAGGAAGAAGAGCGCGGGCGCGATACCTGACGCTAAGCCTCTTAGTCGCCACTAAGTCTGCGGCGCTTTAATCCCGCCGCTCCCGCAGAAGAAGCAGCCGCCGCCGCCGCCCCGGGCTCGCCGATTTTCCCGCGACCGTCATGGACGAGCTCCTGCTGGCCGGAGGCGGCGAGGAGGACGCTCGCTCGGAACGTTCGTTCTCCACGGCCGGAGACGGAGGAGGGCCGGCGGACCGCCTCAAGTCCCGCCTGCGCGCCGCCGTGAGCCGCGACATGTGGCTGGCGCTGCGGAAATTCGCCAAGAGGAACGGCCTCCTCACCTTGTCCGTGGCGGCCGTGCTGAGCGGCTGCACGCTGGGCTTCATGCTGAGGGGCACGCAGCTCTCCCCGCAGGTACCGCCCGACACCCCGACTGTTGACCATCGGGGCAGGTGCGCATCGGTCGGGTAAAAAAGAAAAAGAAAACAAAAAGTCCGCTTTGGTTTTGCAACGCAGGCCAAGCTCTACTTCTCCTTCCCCGGCGAACTGCTCATGAGGATGCTGAAGATGCTCATCCTGCCGCTCATCACCTCCAGGTAGGCTCGGCCCGGCGTCCGAGGTTCTGATGGCTAACAACCGACGTCGCAAAGTAACGCCGAAGAAGAAAAAGGCGCAAACGATGGAGGGAAATTGTCCTTCCTCTTGCGGGAATGTCAGACGTGAGCTTTCGAGGTTGACTCTCAAGGGATTTATTTGTGCCGACGCGAGAAGGGAAGTCAAACAGCCCTTGAAGACTCGGATTTATGATGTGATATCGAACGGCAGGTTTTTGTTTTTTTGACCCGCACTCCACCAATCCGCCGTGTCTTGCAAACTGCAACGGAGCATTTTCAAAGAAAATAGAAAGGAATCAAAACAAACCTGAACTGAAAGTAACTGACTAGACGAAGCAAAGGGAAATGAAACCTGTTCATTGGGTGGGTTTATTTTGCTGTGCGTGTGTGTGCCCCCCCCCGCCCCCAACAGCCTGATGTCGGGCCTGTCATCGATGGAGTCTCGCGCGTGCTGCCGCATGGGCGTGCTGACGGTGACGTACTACCTGTGGACCACCTTCATGGCGGTGGTGGTGGGCATCGTGCTGGTGGTCATCATCAAGCCGGGCGTGGGCACCGACATGGAGAGCAACCGGCTGGGGGGCGGGCCCGTCATGACCTCGGCCGACGCCCTCCTCGACCTCATCAGGTAGGTCAGCTGGCCCAAACACTTGGGACGCGCTGACGCGCGCTCTCCTCGGCAAACGCAAAGACGCCGCAGACACGCCGGCATCCGTTCCTGCGCACCCTCGCACCGATGCAAGATACGAGCTCGCACGCACACTCACGTGAATCCGATTAGCCGCGAGGCCAACGGCCTTATTTTTAGTCATCTCGCGCGGCCGAGCGCCAGCTTAGCCTTTGGCGGCGCTGATCTCCGGTGCTGCGGCCCCGCCCCCTTTCCGCCCCTTTGACCGCCGTCCGCCTCGTCCGCAGGAACATGGTGCCCTCCAATCTGATCGAGGCCACCTTCCAGCAGGTGAGCGAGCGCCGCCTCGGCCCGCCCGGCCCCGCCCCGCGCCGCCCTCACCCCTCCCGTTTTGCGCGCTCAGTACAAGACGGACCTGGTGCCCATCCTGAAGGTGGCCGCCCGGACGGCGACGCCCAACTTTGTGTACGTGGTGCCCGGCGACGCCGAGGGCAAAGGCCGGACGGTTCTGCTGGAGCTGACGCCGCCGCCCGAGGTGACGTACAAGACGAGCCCGGGGAGCAGCCAGCAGATGAACGTGCTGGGCATCGTCATCTTCTCGGCCACCATGGGTGAGTCGCGTCTCCGCGACGCGTACCTTTCCGGGACCGCCGTACGTCTCCAAAACCGCCGGCGTGTCTCAAAGGTCTCAAAGGCCCCGTCCGCGGCCCCTTCTCGATCGATCCCGGTCATGTGAGCTCTTCGCCCATTTCTTCTTGGCGCTAACGTGAAGCTATCAGACCTCATTTCAGCAATATGACCGAGTTGCTAACTTGGAGTTCGGTATCTGAGCTTTCAAGAAGAGGTCCCACAGATGATTGCATTTTATACGGACGGCAGATTTTGCTTTTGTTTTTCCTCGCCCTCCTCGGGTGATGATCCGGGCGCGTCGTGAGCATTTGTTCAATGTGGACACGCGAAGGCCTTCCGCCATCTATCTCCAACTTCTTTTCTGTGCCTGCGCACGCACTCTCGCAGGACTGTTGCTGGGCAGGATGGGCGAGCGCGGCGCGCCGTTGGTCAACGTGTGTCAGTGCATCAACGAGTGCGTCATGAAGATCATCAACGCCGCCGTGTGGTGAGCGTTTGCGGACCGGGCTCGGAGAAGACGCCGAGAGCGGCGGCGAGACGGCGGCTGACGGCCGCGGGCGTGTTTTCAGGTACTTCCCGTTCGGGATCGTCTTCCTGGTGGCCGGCAAGATCCTGGACATGCAGGACCCGAGCACTCTGGGCCGCAAGTTGGGCTGGTACGGCGTCACCGTCCTGGCCGGCCTCTTTGTGCACGGCCTGGTGCTGCTGCCCCTCTTCTACTTCCTGCTGACCAGGAAGAACCCCTTCACCTTCATCCGCGGGCTGCTGCAGGCCTTGGTCATCGCCCTGGCCACCTCGTCCAGGTCAGTGGGCAAA